ATTCACAGGCAGTGATGGCCATAGGGCTACTGGCACCCTGGGCAAGCTGAACTTCAGCACCCATACAAGTATAATTTTTAAAAATTTTTTCAAGGAGAAAGACTGAAAATGTAGAATAACAAGTTATATTACAATATACAACTTAATACAAGCCAAAGGAAAAATTCAATATCCTACCTAAAACATTTTTCTAGCCTTTAGATCTGCAAATCTTTTCATGGCACATTTTACATCTATCTTCTTTACAAGATCATTTCCTATTGACAAAATAACCAAAGAATTTAATCTGTTTTGAATCATGGACGACTGCAGATATGTTTATCTAAGCTTTAGTTTTGGAAGATCCCAAACACATGACATAGCAGCATGATTGTGCCCTGAGCAACTGCCCAAGTTGAGCCAGATCTGTTTACAGGACATATTGAAGACAGAAGTGTCAGGGGCATTCTATACTTGTGAATTAAATAAATACTTCACTTTGAAATTCCAAGAAAGTTATAGATACCAAGTAGGAAGACAGACTGTGTGAATTTATTTCTATATAGAAAAAAAATTAAAAAGTTAAGTGCATAAGAAAAAAAAGACTCTTACTCAGTGGGAAATAAAACAAAAATATTTTTTTTATTTACAAAAGATTTAATTGGAAAAGAAAGAGGATATAAAGGCTTGCTCAATATATTCTTTGGAGTGCCTAATAAAAAGTAAGCTGAATTGAAAAGAATTATTTGTGAAAGTGGGACTTACAATTGATAAAGTTAAAAATGTCCTTTACAAAAGGATACAGCAAAAGTTCACACCTTGTTGTTAACATTCTAACCTGTCAGGAGTCAAGGTAATGCATAGTAATAGTGAAGAATGATAAATGAGGAATTTTGGTAGCAGTATTTAATTTTGGTTATGTTGTCCAGAGTTTTTGATTGGCCACTTGGCATTTTGGAATCTTCTTGCTCTCAGCTACAAATATTAATTGATATGGTCGTCTCCATGTTTGCAAGACTGTCCAATGATGAGGCTTTGATGAAAAGTGATTTTTACCACCCAGTGACCTTGTTTTTATTTAAATTGTTTGGCTCACTCAGTTATCTTTTCATATGGCTGAAACATTGTGAGTATAACAACTAAGATGAGTATAAACATCTTCCTGGTATGATGTTATCAATACCAACAGTCTATCCATAATATGTTGATCCTCCAGAGTGATAAACCAATCCATAAAAAAATCCCATTACTTGATCACAAATTCTCTGCTCTGTAGCGGTGAATAGTAATCTGACATTACATTGAATCCCCTTTTGGCAAACCTCAGTCATCAGTTGGATTACTTTGATAATAACACTTCATGATGACTGTATTTACATACTTGTTCCATCTTTGCTTCTTTTCATGCTGAGCAGTAGCCAGATTATAACTGGGCCCACTTTGCTGCACAGTGGGACACCTATCAAAGGAGACACCTTTGCCATTAATTCTATTCTCATTTATGACATTATTTGATAACCTAGTCTTTGACATTTTCCCTCAGAAAAGGTATTTTGTGTTTATAAGGTTAAACAATTACCCAAGTATTATTGTGTACACCATCATTAAGAAGGACGTCAACCAAGGCTAAAGACCACTTCCTGACCATGTGATTCAATTTTATCTTGCTGGATACCAACCTGGTATTTCTTGGGCATGGGGTTATTATTATTATCATTATTTATTAATATACTTTTATTTTAAAAATTCTGACATTTATTAATCACAAATGCTTCTACCTATGGAAAAAATATCTGAAATTTCACTTTGGATGGTATTTTATCATATTTTGGATGAATCACCTTTCAAATGAAGGTGCAGAATATGAAGCTAGTTTTAAAAGAAGCAAAGGGAGATAAATCAATGCTTTAGTTAATTTACATAATGCCAGAGAGGTCCTTGTGCACTTCTTGTCCATGTAATTTTGTTATTTCTTCCTTTCTAATGTAACAAGCTGCATTTTGGTGTCCTTTCTGATTTTATCTTCCTATCTGTTTCTTAGATGGGTTACCCTGTGTTTTTTTTTTTTGCCAGAGAAGTTGTTTTTTAGGATCTATAGACAGAGCTTCGTTTTCCACTTCTGATTCTGTAGCCAAACCAATTTAGCCCTCTTCTTCTAATCAGAGTAATTATGTCAATGTTCATATGTATTTTTTTTCTTATGGCAGGCATTCTGATTCTGTCTCTGATATTTTTCCCAGCCATGGTTCTGAGAAAGTTGTTTTTAAAGATTTTAAATTCATCGCATATTTTTTTTCTCAGTGTTCTCGTGTCATGGGCTTAAATTGCTATAGGGGTGGTTAGAACATAGTACAGATTGGTGGTCTTTTCAGTCCCAGGTCTTTTATCTCAGTATTCCAAAAGCAGTTGAGATAAGTACTATTACTTGTATTAAATTGTAGTGTTTGTGAAGAAAAACTTCAAAAACCTATATCAATTAAGATTTGGTAAAATGAAAATTTAGACAGATTCAAATTATAGTGGACACATTTTTAGAGCATATTTTATTAATTAGTTAATTTCAGACAAAATAAAAACCTCTTTTTATTGAAAATTATTAATAAGATATAGTATTAAGATATAGTATCAATTAGCTAGTACTAAGCTAGTGTTTTGCCAACCATTCCAAAGAATGCAATTCGCCAATTGCTTTAATCACAGTGTTTACTTCATTTAAGATTTTTTTATCAGTTAGCAATTGACTGACAATAAATAATCTTTTGGCAGATTTTCTAGGTATTTTTAGATAAATTAGTAATGATTAAAAAAAAAACCCTTCAAAAAAGAGTAGGAAGAAGGGTAACCTTTAATTGCTGGAGTTTCAGGCCTTGGATTTCTAGTGATTAGCTATCCTAGATCATGATTATAAAAATGATTGGAACATTAAAACAAAAATATTCTAATTGGTATTTTCACACTGTTGTTGCATACATGTGTTATAGTTTCTCTGCATGCATCAAATGTAAATGCTTGTATATCATTTTGTGTGTGACTTAGCGGTATAAAGCTGTCTCTGAGAACAAACCATACTTATCATCCCTTTTCTTTCAGCTGTTCTGTCCCAACTGTGTATTAAGGTGTTATTATATTATAGATATAATAATGACCATAATGGGGTAAAATGCAAACTGATAATATTCCATTTATTACATAGAACTCCCATTATACCTAACTTCTGCTGCTGCCTCGTTCACAGTAGAAAATTATCCCCATTGTTGTGGGAATGCTGGTTGTGCTTAACTAAAATACACGTGTCTCCTGGTATATTTTTCGGTTTTCCCACAACAATCGAATGTGAGTCTGGTTAATAAATGAATAAAGTAACAAAACAAACAAACAATATTTTACCAATATAGTGTAACCCGGATATAAGAGACCCGGATATAAGAGAAACCCGAATATAAGAGAGATTTTCTCTGGTCCCAAAGTGTTCCCATACTTACCTAAACAAAATAGACCAAACCCGGATATAAGAGAAACCCGGATATAAGAGACTCCGTCTTCGGTCCCGACAACTTTGTAATATCCGGGTTACACTAGTATACAATGACAAGAGAATATTGTTGTGGGTGACAAAAACAATGAATATGAAAGAAAACATTTTTAAACGTTATATTACATGAAAACATTTCAACTAGAGAGAATGTGTTTTTGTATGTATGAAATTTGTGTAGAAATCCGAGAGTAAAGTATTAAAAAGTGAAGTGAATGTGCATTCCCCGGTGGGGGACACATGTGCGAACTACATCTTATTGTCTAAGAAAAATAGAAAAGAGAGAGTGATTGAGAATATAATTTCCTATTTAGGCTTAAGAAGTGTCCTCCAGCGACGGTTTTTTTTAGTAAAGTAGGATAACCCACACCATTTTCTTTGTGTTCCTTTGGTAAGGAGTAAGTTAAGTTTAAACCTGTTCAAATCCAGGGTCAACTTACATATGCACTTCTTACCATCTCCACCCGCCTTTCCCCTAAGTCTCATTCAGTAACCCTTTTTACTTGTATTTTTTTTTATCATGTAGGTGAACTAAAGTGAAAAAAGGTAAATAATAATAAATAAAGATTACAAGTTTTCAGAAAAAAAACAACTTAAACAGCAGTAACAGGTTATTTTTTTTGCACATTATCTAACGTTTTTTTAGTGATATATATCATCAAAAGATTTTTTGTAACGTTCACAAAAGATAACATTCATCAAATGAAATTCCAAATCAAATAAATCTAAGTACATTTATTTTTTCAGAAATACGTTTTTTTTTCAATATAAAATTATCTGAGATAATACTAGTTATCTCTCAACATTACTCTCTCTACAGTAGAAATAAAATTCGACACCAAACAAAATTAAAAAAAAAACAATAAGAAAAATTGAGTTTGACTGACACGTTTAATTCAGAATAATAAGCCAACTGAATTATTATTTATTTATAGACATTGGGAAAGTACCTTACCTTTTTTTAATCTTATAAAAAAAACAAGTAAATAACTAAAAACTGACTGAACTATTAAAATAAAAAAGTAAAATAACCCAACAAAATAAACACTGATTTTTTTAAAATTTTACACTTACAATAATAGAAATTATAAGAAAATATTTGAAAGAAATATAAGAAAAATAATTGTAGCATAAAGTTTATAGTACTATTATTTAGTAAATATAGTCATAGTTTAAAAAATCGGTTTCGTTTCACACTGTGTACTAAACCGATTTTTTAAAAATAAATGACAATATAAATGTTGCTAAATATTTTTATCTAGAGATAAGGTTAAAGTTTTTCAAATAGAAATTCTAGTAATTATGAAAATTATTCTTTTTATTTACCTTTCTTCGTCGCACTATTTTTTTTTTTTTTCTTTTTTAAAAAAAAAGTTATTGACATGCGTATGTAGTCCTCCGCAGCATAGGGCCTATATTGAGATGACCCTCGTGGAGTAGAAACGCTAATCTCTTAGGGAGTCAGCACGTGTACGGGGTGTTTTACAAGATGGCACGGTGAGTAGTTTGTTGCTGCCTGTTTTTCTGGTAATATCAGAATTAATATATGTATATAAATTATATCTACATACACACAATTTGTTTTATCGAAAACGGTCAGTCTTAAAGATGGTTGTCATTTTGAAATTGTGTTTATCAAGTACGTTCCTCGGTCCACAAAAATGTGCAGCTTTCTTTGGCAGGTGTCTAATTTCCCCCAAATAAATATTTCGCCTACTGTACATGTACGGTACTAGAGACTTTCATTACTTTAATATTTCTTCTCCAAATTTGACAAAACATTTCTATACTACGCAGATGGTTTACCTGCACATTAAGAAAGCTTATTAAGCAAGAATAGTTTTTTGTCTTTTCCTTAACTTCTGTAACAAGTGGCGGGAATAATGCTGCCCGCTCTGTCTCCTTTATATTTGCAGGAAGTATTCTAAATAGTCTATTTTCTTCCTGTTAGAACCTCTAAACGTTATCTTCATTTGATACACACAAAGAAAAATGTCTCTAAACTGTCACTTTTTGTACTTCTACCACTCTAAATCAAACTAAACTTCTAGCTATTCACCCACATTTTTTTAATATTAAAAGTCCTGGTAATCTTTTTCTTTTTTAGTTTGATTTACACACAAAGGAACACGTCATTAAAAATAACTGGTTCGATTTTTAACTTCTGAAAGATAACTTCTAAAAGTCTCCTCGTTAAAGTTTCGTATCATATTCGTTTAAACTAATTCTTCAAAATAGTTTTTTCTTTCTTATCTAAATAAAATTATTTGTATTTTGTCAGTGTTTGTCAAATGTTCACTTTTTTTCTCTATGAAGTCCTCGTTGTTTCCCGCTAAACCCAAAGTCAGTTTTCTCATTACGTCAAATGAACTGAAAAGCTTTATCGACAGGATTTTTACTTCTTCCTGTGTTATTTTCAGTGTCCGTTTTTTGTGTAAACGGTTTTTTATTATAAATTAACGGACGCAGGATTTGTCCTAACTTCATTTTTTGTTTCTTTAGTTAGTGAAGACCAGCCTCAACCCCTCCTCTTTTTCGGCTTTGTGCCATAATTGTATTTTTAGCTTGCTCTTTTAACAGTTATTTTAAACAAAAAAAGCTTTCGTATTGTTTGTCGTTTTTTGAACAAGTAAATAAAAAACGTGGCAATTTTAGATAAACTTTGACATTCTTTCGGTTTCTATTGGAATTATTTAGCTTCTCTAGTTTATTTTTACCACTTATTACTCAACTCTTACTCCAACTAGGGTGGGGTATATTTTTCTTAGAGTCCTCTTTATTTTTTTAATTTTAAAAATATTGTCTTAAAAATTCCATGGTGGAATTCGTAACGCTCCCAAACTTTAAATTTGCAAAACCATAATTTTTCAGTTAGAAAAAAAAAAATTCTCGTGCCTGTTTACAAAATATTGTAAAATAAAAATTGTGAGCAAATATTTTTCCTACTTTTGTCGGTTTTGTAATTTGCATAGTAATTCTTCAGTGTTGGTCATGGTACTAGCTTGTGAGTTTTCAAAAATCAGTGTTCTGCTTTAAACTTAAGCTTAAAACGACCATTCGTCACTTCTACTATTCATGTTTTGATTCTTGGCGACACCTTGCATAATGTTTGACTCTTGTGTTTGTTATTAGGATGGGTGTTGATTTGGTTTAGTCCTTTTGAAGGATTAAAAGTAAGTTTTGCTAATTATTTCGAAAGTTTCTTAAAGTATTGCACTTATACTTCTGCTGGTTAACACCAGGAATCTCTGAAATGCTACTTACTAAAAGCAAACTATATTCCATTTTTTTATTGCGGATCTCTACTGTTCGCATCTGACATTTTTTGTCGCAACTTTGAAACTTCGTCAACTAAAAATTACAAACTACTACTTTAGGTGACTCTTACTACTCCAACTATTAAGTAAACTGTTTACTGTAAACAAACATTTCCTTTCTGTACTTGTTTGTTTATTAGGTCATTAAACCTATGGCGAGAGTAAATCACTTAGGTTAAGATAAAAAATTCTAAAAATATCCTCTCGTTCTTGTTTCATTAGTAAGGATAACTATCATCAGTTTGTCATAGTTAAAATTTGACAATATTCACTCAGTAACTGTAACACGTTTCAAATTAAGTCCCCTGTATTAGATGTTTCATGCTCCTCAACAGCAGCCTTGGAAGTTCTTAAAATGCATTTAACTTCTTGAAGATTATAACTTTTAAAAGGAATTATTTTTTCCGGGAGTATGAAATTGTATTTGACTTTGTTAGGAAGCAGTATCTTTTTTCTTTTTAAGTTGGCAGTTTCTTGGCTCTTGCTTGCGTGTGAAAAAAGAAACTGATGATTAAAAACATTTTTTTTTTTTCTTCCAGTATTTGTTAATAATGTAGACTTCAACACTAAGAATCTAAAATTTACGAAAAATATAGTGAAATGCCAATCACCTCCACTTCTAAATTTCACGAACAATTATTTATTGCAAAATTCATGTGGTTACAAAACCTAACACTTAACAATATTCTAATAACTTTTTGAATTCTACTAGGCATCCAAGAAAAAGATTTTTACATTATTTCTTTGAAGACTTTTTGTATTTACTTCAGTTTTTAGCTTGTTCTTTCCAGGACTGTTTATCCTCTGTCTAGGAAGTTGGTGCATGTCATCCACCAGGTGGGGCCACTTTTATACAGCAAATATTTCGTCTTATGAGTGAATAACTGGTAGATGATTTATTCATCAGTCAGTACGAAGATCGTCTAAAAGATTAAAAACGTAAAGTGGAACTTTGTTCTAGTGCTCACTTTACTTGCAAGCAATCCTGGATTTTTTCTCAAGGCATTTTTTTAAGGTCAATCATCAAATGAGCGTTTTGAAATAAAAATGCTGTGTATGACAGCAATTTTATTTTTGTAAAATTACTAACTTCCCAATTTACAGATCGCGAAATCTATCAGATGAAATTTTTAATATTGCATTATTCAAAAATTTTAGCACATTTGCAGATAGCTGTTAAATGTCAACAACTGAAATAATTACTATTTTTTTTTTTTTAATTAATAACTAAGTTATAACAACTACAATAGCGTACAAATGTCGTTTTTGATAGGTTAAAAAATAACCATAAATGCGTATATTGTCGAAAATTACCTTTTCCACAATATAGCCATTTGTGCTGTAATACCTATTAGCCTAAATACTGAATATTTTTTTTTTTTATTGTTAAAGTACATTTAGTCACTTCTTTCTAATAGCTGTCGCGATCCGTGAAGATGAAAATGTTACCAGTCTACACAAATATCCAAACCGTGGTTGACTGCTACCACACCCCGGAAATCCCATAGGAAGATTGGTCTTTAAGTTAGCTAGCAAATACTGGAGTTATCTTAATTTGTACCTGTCTTTTATTGCAATCACCCTGAAATTTATTAAAAAAATCCTCTCTTGGATCTTTCTTAAATTCAACTTAATGCAAGTTAATTAGCAATATTTGAATACCTGTGTTTTTTTTCTATGTATTGCTCTTTTCATGTTACTCGGTTAATCTATAATCAATAACTACTTATCAGTTAGTCTAATCTTTACAGTGTCTATAATAATTATTTTATGGGAATAATTTGTTGTATAAACATTTCAGAAGCTTGTAATTATCTCTATGGAAATTAATATTTCAAGATCTGTTTTAACCATTGTTGTCTGTTAGATAATTTAACATTTTTTTAAGGCCTTGGTATTTCTTTACAGACTTTTTTTTTTTTTTTTAATGGAATAACAGGGGAGAATATACATTAATGAACATTACATGGTGTAAACCTTCTCCAAAGCTGTTGTGCCTAAAATAAATGCAGATTGGATATTTCTGACCCATGCCATCTGTCTGCAGTTGATTTTGTTAGACTTAACTCTTCCTCTAGTGATGAAAGGGAAAATATTGTTTGCCAGTTGAAAGCTTTCCAATTATTTGGAAAGTTTTAAAAATAGCTAATCTGTATCATGCTACTTAATTCTCTAAACTCTTTTAAATTTAAACAAGGACCTTTCTGCTTGTTTGTATTTTTCATTTTCTTTAATGCTTTGCTGACTTATGTGCCGAAACCTCAAATACAGGTAGGAAATGGCTCTTTGTTTAAAAATTTTTCTTCCTAAATCTTTAACTTTTTTCTTTTTCTCCAGTGGACGAGGGCGTGGACTTGCATTTTTAGAATTTAACAATTCTAATGATAACGGTAATAATAATAATGGACAAGTAATACAAAGGTCTCCTCTTCCACCTACTGCGTCTAGTCAATTTGAGGATTGTTGGGATGATGATTGTTCCTCTTCTGCTCAGGTGGGCACTAATAGCTATGGCAGAGCCACACCAGACAATTTCTCTTACAGTCCTGGAGAAACAGATTCTTCATTACAACTCACTGGTTTCAGCTCATCACCAACTGGTTGGGAAGATCAAGCCAGTAGCAGCAGTAGTCATTACCAGAATTCAAATGGTAAAATATTTAAACATTTTTTATATTGTCATTAAATTGTAGAAATTGGCTCAAAACTTGTCCCAAAACCTGTCCTCACTTCAAGATGCAATGCACTCTATTTAAAATGTCTACCAAAAATTAACAATTCTCACATCTACTCAAGTAAATAAATTTTAAATCAAACTAAATTTTCATGGCTTGATATAAAGCTTTCTGTGAGAATAACTAGATAAAATGCACTTCCCACTCATCAAAATGTTAATGCTTCTCTATATTTTAGGCATGAAAATTCTTTCTTCAATGATCATTTGTATTTGCAGGCAACTTAGACTGAATGGGGGCGGGGTATTGATCAAGCCAGACTTAAATTATTTACTGCGAACTGGTGTCGTTAGAATGTTATTTTACATGAAGTTTTTTTTTTTTTTTTTGTCCTGCTGTTCATAGTAGTTGGGTTTATATTTATTTTAATTATTGTTACTATTACTGCCAGCTTTACAAACTTGTCAGTTTTAAGGTTGAAACTATTTGGCATGCATGAATTACTAAAATGACTTAAATATTTTCTTTTTTCTTTTTACAGGATATGGCAATAGAGCTGATTCTAGCTCCAGGTAAAAATAAAATTTATAATATAAAGCTATTTCAATGGAAACTTTGCATTTCTACTGATGAATTTTAAATAGGACCAAATGCTAAATTTCTACAGGTTGCTCTAACTAATCAAATTTAAATGATTGTGCAATAAGAAATTGAATTTGAACTGTCTAGGCATTAAAATTAGATTAGTTTTAAATAAACATTGACTATAGAGACCTAATTGTATTTCATTAGGTACTTTACCTTCCAAAAAGATAAATGAAAACTTGTTTTACACAGGACCATAATGTCTTATGGTGAAAACAGATTTGGAAATTCTTGAAAAAAAAATCAATTACATTTTAATGACACTTTCAGGATTTATTCAGTAATGAAATTTTTTTTTTTTTCTTCTCTCCTTTCCTCCTGTATTAACCTCCTTCCCTTTTCAATTTTTATGAAATTCAGAAATTCTTTTATGTATCTCTTAATGTCAGAATTTTAAACCATCAAATTAAACATGCCCTCTGGATTGTAAAATTTGTCAATAAAACTGACAGCAATTGTTTCTATGAATAAAATATATTATGGACACTATTGTTACATGATTCTCTTGATATGACTTTTTACAAGGCTTTTTAATTTTGTATTGGAATAATTTATAAACTTTTAGACCTTAAAATTCTATATTAATTTATAGCAGCCAAGTGGTAGTTATTGAAACTGTATTTACTAATTATAAATGGAGATTTTTTTTTTTTATTTATTATACTGGTGTCCGTACATGACTCGGAAAAGAATTACCTATAATAATTAATTTTTCAACCAGTATCTTTCATAAGTGAGACTATAAAACCAAAATACCTAAAAGTCAATAAAATATTCAATAATTTTTCAGTTCTTTAAGATTACTGAGTAGTTAATAAAAAAAAAAAAAAACTTATGTTCATGTTGTATTTAAAAAAAAAAAAAAAAAAAAAAAATGTTATTTTTAAATTATGCCTCCCTCCCCCTGAACACATGGGGGGGTCTGTCTCTGGTGTTGATTTTTCTGCAAAAAAAATTTTGTCATTTTCAGAGAAGTGAATTTTATTTTTGATAGAATTATGTCAACAGATCTGTCCATGTGGATGGACTTATAGATTTTACTGATAGGGAAGATTTTAAGTCAGTTTAAAATAAACCAAAGTATTTGGCCTATTGGGGATATTAAATTTAATCTAATAGCTTGGATTTAAAACTAAAACTGCATTTTAAACTTTGGGTACTTACCTATGCTGATCTTACCAGAAGTATTCACCTTTCAAAATAATTAACTGCTTGCTGGTGTGTATCATTCCCATTAAATTGTATTGTTTATATTTGGATTTTTTTTACTTTGACTAATAAACTGTTCTAATGCTAAGTAATTTAGCTTTAAATCTTGATATATATTTCTTTCCTTTTCCAGTAGCCATGGCTTTAAAAGGCGGGAAAGAACCACTAATGGTGTCGACAGGACAGGTTTGTCTGTTTATTTTAAAGCTTAAGTCAAATTGTTATGGAAGTAGTTTGTTTGTGTTATAGTTTTAGATCTCACAGGATACAAAGAACCTTCTGTTTATGAATGCATGGGGCTACTGCCATTACTTAACCGTAAGAATGTCTTTAAGACTGATTTGGTCCTCTAAGAAATGCTGATGCTCGGTGTACTAAAGCCGTTGATATTGCTGATTCTTTACCGACTAAATAATTTGATGCACACATTGAAGTCTGCCAAATTCCTACACTAAAGTTCAGCTACCTACTAAATACTGTTTATTAAGCCACCATTTTGTGTAGATTTGATCTTATAGGTTAACATTTGAAATTGTTCTGATATATTGCTCATTTGACATTTGATCAAAGTTTAAATTATAATGTACATGGTTTATGTGTGCACACATTTAAAACTTTTCTATTGCAGTCCTGTTCATTTTATACATATATTAGTTTTGATTATTGACTTTCTCTTAGGTGGTGGCTGCTTTAAATGTGGTGATTCTGGACACTTTGCTAGAGAATGCAGTTCAACATTTTCACAAAGTAAGTGTTTGTGTTTTTAACCCTATAAAAAAAGTCCAAACATTTGAGGTACCCTTAAATTTATAAGGACACAACATGCAGACGACACAAGCTGAATTAAGAAAAAAAAATAAAAAAAATGATCAAAATGAAATGTGCCTCTTTTGCAATAAAAATTACAATGCTGTATAAGGTCCTTGGAAAAGATAAACATAAAAAATAAATGAAGGCAATACTTATGAAGAGTTTTCAAAGCAAAAGTTCATTGAAACTGAAGAACAGAACGATCACACTAGCTGAAGAATTTTCCTTTATGTGGGAGTGACTTTGATGTCCAATTCTTCTGGTTGTCAAATTTGTGTTTTTCTTCTATCAGGCTGACCTGGGTTTATGCAGCAGCTGTCAGACTCCTCAAATTTGATTCCTGGCTCTCTATTCATCCAAATATGCTCCAGGTTAATTTCTTGGAATTTGGAGGGAAACCTTTGGATTGGTTCCAAATGAAAAATAAATGCAGCTATTTTCCCACAAATCAAAATATCCCCAAAATATTTTTGAAATTTAAATTTGAGCAAGACTCCTACACAGTTTTTTTTTTTTTTTTTTTTTTTTTTTCCACTTGGTGAAGCAGGCGATCCACACTCGAGCAGCTTAAATTTCTTATTTTTATTTTCTCCCATCTGTCTTAAAATACCCATAAAAACTAGTAACAATCACAGGTAACTTTTTCTATATTTGATTATAAATTGATAGTTTGTAGTAGAAAGATTTATCTATTTTCATGGTTAAACAGTTGCTGCAATATTAACTTAATGGCTTTTTCTCTTATTGAAAGGTGGTAGTAGTAGTAGTGGATGTTACAAGTGTGGAGAATCTGGTCACTTTGCTAGAGCATGTCCAATGTCCTCAAATGATTCAAGGACTATAGGTAAGTAAGATCTTTGTGAGATAACTTCAGTGAGCAAGTTTTTACTTCAATATCTGGGATTGATGAGATGTAGTGAAACCATGCATGTATCATTCAGATTTAAATGATTTATGTATCTTGCCTTGTATGCTTCTCTAATTACTCTAATGTAAATTCTTTTTGTGGTGGATAAACTGTGTAAACATTTCCATAAATCACTAAGGTCTTTCTTTTAAATTCAAACTGTTGCCATGCTGGTGCATTCCTTTCTCAGAATACATGAATTGAAATTTTGAATGCTGTCAAAGAACAGTTATCCACTTTGAAAGTAACTTTGTGTGTGTGTGTACACAATTTTTACTTTTTTTATTTTTATTTATTTTTTTCCTAATCTGTTCTCTAAAATACCTTTGGTAAGCATTCCTTTGTACAGGCTTGTCAAATAGGTTACTGTTTTTTTTTTTTTTTTTTTTTTTTTTTTCTTGCATCTCCTGCCTGTGTGCTGTGAGCATTATCTGATAAAAAGAACTTTTTTCATAAAAGTGATTTTTCTCAGAAAATTGGTCATAATTTCTTACTGCTAACCCCAGAGTGACATTTTTCACAGCCAAATCAAAGATTAATTACCAGCAAATAATTCCATGTGCAAACAATAGCTGTCTGGATCCAATGAGATGGCCCAAAAACATCTAGATGGTAACTGATTGAAGACTTGTTGCACATAATTGTTTTCCATGGTCAGTTTCCATTATTTCATCTCGATGTTGTCATTTTTGGACAGCCAAGTCATTGAGGATTCAGGGAAACCAGCTTGGCACAGTTTTGCTTTGAGAACTTTGCATTCTATAAGGCGTTTAATGTTACTGACAAATGGAAATTTTCACCAAATATTTTCTTCAAGTGCCATGTTAGATTTTCCTATGGCAAAAACAAGCATTTTAAACTGCTGTAAGATATATAAGGATTTTTTTTTTTTGAGAGTATAAGGGTAACTCTAGAAAAATGGTTTTAATTTTAATTCTATTAAACAAATGGTATAACTAAATGTGCATGCACATTCAAGTAATCGTGCAAAACCAACTTTTTTTTTTTTTTTTTTTTTTTGTCTTTGTACTTGTATTTATTATCTTTTCAGATAACCAAGACCAGATGACCCTTGGAGGTAAATCTCTAATAATTATTTCAGTTTGGGAGGGGGGTGAGTTTTGTTCAGTTTTTTTCCACTTCTGAATTTTACTTATAGGTTCCCGACGAGAAGCAGCTTATATTCCACCACCCCCACCAGAAGATGAGGAAACTATTTTTAAGTGTGTTCCAACAGGAATCAACTTTTCCAAATATGATGAGATCCCAGTGGAGGTATCTGGAAGGGCAGCTCCAGCAAATATGCTTAGCTTTGAATCCCATTTTAAAGGACTTTTATTAACAAACATTCACCGTGCAAAGTATGACAAACCTACTCCAGTGCAGAAAAATGCCATTCCTATCATTCATGCTGGCCGTGACCTTATGGCTTGTGCCCAGACAGGATCTGGTAAAACTGTAAGTATTGTTTTCCCTTTCAAAGCCTAAAATTCTTTTTTTCTCCATCAGCTTTTGTATGCTGAATAACACTTATTTGCTGAAAAATGAAACCCAGGTCTAGATATGATATATACAATATTGGAGTGTATGATCTACCAGTTTTTATAATTGAGAATTGCTATGAAGATTCTGGCCAGATACTGAATGTATTTTTGTCCTCTTTTGCAGGCTGCATTTGTTTTGCCAGTGTTGAACTCCCTGTTGAAAAGTGATGCACAAGTTTGCAGAGAGTCACTTCCACAATATCCTCATGTCTTAGTAGTTGCTCCTACAAGAGAACTGGCTGTCCAAATATTCATGGACACTCGGAAATTTGCATATGGAACCAACATTAGGTCTGCTGTAGTCTATGGCGGTACGTCAGTCGGCAGTCAAGCAAGAACCCTCCATGTAGGTGTTCACTTTTTAGTTGGTACACCTGGCAGGCTTTTGGATTTTATAGAAAAAAATACAGTAAGTTTTTAATCTTGAATTATTTCCTTTGATTGATCCACTCTAAAAATGATGCTCCAATCTTTTTTTCATCCCCTTGTAGAAATAGTAGGTACCTCCACTTTTCACAAAACAGCATAGCATAATGAAAAAAAGGCTCCAAACTCAATAAGAACAGTTTCAAAATGTTAAGAGGAAAGACGAAAATATTTAAAAAAAATTCTTTTTCTTTCTAGCATGATCGAAATTTTAGTTAATCTTGTTTTGTTTGCATCAACAACTGACATAATTGATAATGGTTAGTTTTTATTTGTTACCACCCACTTTAATTTCATGAAATTTTGAAATTCAATTTTTAGGGCAGGGATTTTTTTTTTTTTTTTTTTTTTTTTGTAAAACAGTTACGATTTTTCACTGAGAATTTGCTCGAATTGCACATCTATTAAATTATAAAAGCTTTTAATTGATTTGATAAATAGGATTTATTAAGGACACTATTGTCTTAAAAAAAAATTTTGAATTTTTACAAGAAATTTTTTTTTTTTTTTTTTTTTTTTTCAATTAAACAATTTATAGTATTAAATCATTAAAATTCTGCATTGCTTCAAGGCAGCAGTTTGGTGATATTTTTATGTGAAAAGTACATTCATGAATCAAAAATTTTTAGGTTATAAACATTCCAAATTTCTATCAGGCCCTGTCAGTTGGGGCTGGGAAAATATACAGACTGCACCTCTGAAGAGGGGTAAGATCTCCCAAATACAACCACCCATTGGCTGTAGGTGGCAATCTGTAAAGTTTCAGGATTCAATGAAAAACGATTAGCTCTTTAATAAAAACAATATCGGTTAAAAATCTAATCAACAATACCCTGGTAGTATAAGTACCAAAAAACTTTCTCAGACCTTCTGCTTAAACAGAAATACTTCCATAACCTCAAAATAAAAGCCTAAAAAAGGGTGTAGTGAATAACCCAGATTGCTCCCTCTGCACTCTGGATGAAATAAAAAGGTGTTACTGACGTCCAAAGAATATCTATAAAAAAGGAAAGCAACCAAACATTCCTAACAAACGTGTATATTTAAATTTAACACTCTAAAACCTCCAACTGGGATAAAAATAGGGTCGACAATAAACAAATCGAACATATACCAAGCCTGCTGAGATATCACAATTGCTAAAAATTTGGACATTGCAGGGAGAGATGTACCAGACTAACATGCAAAAACTGGGGAAACTGGAAACCATGCAGACTGCAGACACCCATCAAAGTGTGTGTAATCTGCAAACAAGATCATGCAGCAGACACGAATGTGAAACGCGGAGAGAGAAAAAAAAAAAAAAAATGGAAATTAAATGCCTCAAAAAAAAAATGTGATTCCTGGAGGCAAGTAAGTTAGTCGAATTTAGTGGCTACATCTTATGCAAGCATAGCCAAAAACAGGAACAACTAAACCCAAAATCAAGGAATGACCCAAAACGAAATGATAGATTTAATTAAAGGAATTGAAGATACTTTTGCGGGAAAGCCTGACAGATTTAACAATCAGGCCTCATATGAACTAGATCCAAAGAAAAAACCTCCAACTTCAGACCAAAGCTGAAAACTCAAAAACAAACCAAACAAAAACTCTAACCTAACAACAAATTTCAAACATCACTACTATCATTACCAAAGCAACAATTCCTCATCTCAAAAATTGGATAGCAATGAAAGCCCATTGCTAATCCATCTCGAATCCCAGACCAAGAAAACCAAAAACGAACCAAAAGACAAAATAGAACATGAAACCACACTATCGAGATCCCTTAAGACAAAGATCCTAAATGAGAATAAATTTACAGTATTGGAAAGTATGAAAACTGAAGATAAGAATGAAGACCAAAAAATTCCAAAACAAAATCAGAAGACAAGGATTCCAAAAATAATCCAATAGAAAAGCAAGGAAGCATGTACTTTGAAGATAACACCATTTAAAAAAAAAAAAAAAAAACTCCTCATGGCACATAGAACTAGCAATATTGTAAATTGTTTTGTTTACAAATTTCTTAAGAAAATGCCTACTTTTTTTTTTTTTTTAAGAATTTAAAAAAAAGAAAACTAGCAAATTTTTGACATTACAATCAATATAATTTCTTTCTGAAATGCACAAGACTTTTACTTACAGGAAATAATAATTTAATCATTTAGCTTTCAATTAAAGTTAAAATGAAATTTTCAAGAATGCTTTTAATGTTTAAAAATTCATTTTAAATCTTAGGCCCCTCTACTAAATTTTTGATACTTAAGAAAAAGTATCACTTTGTTTAAATGTCTTGGGTCTGGATATGCTTAATCTGAACAAGATTTTAAGGTCTTTCATAATAAATTTTATTTTGTACTTTATCTCTGTAAGCAACTGAAATTTTTTATCATTAACTTTTGAAACTTTATGCTTAAATTTTAAATTTGCATATGTGATTGTAGTTCAGAATTATTTTGATGCTTTTAAGTATCTTAAATACTTTTGCAATGGAGTTTTATTTATTTATTTTCTTTCTTTTTTAGATTAACTTGTCAAAAGTAAAGCATTTCATCTTGGATGAGGCAGATCGAATGTTGGACATGGGTTTTGAGCCAAGTATAAGAAAAATTGTCAAGGACTCTGGGATGCCTCCTAAAACTCAAAGACAAACTTTAATGTTTAGTGCTACATTCCCAGATAGAATCCAAGAGCTAGCAGCAGATTTCTTAAATGACTATTTATTCTTAACTGTTGGCATGGTGGGTGGTGCATGCACAGATGTTGAACAGATTATTCTACAAGTAAATCGTCAAGAAAAGAGACAAAAACTGTGCAGCTTTTTAGATGAATTTGGTGAGTTTAACACTGGACTCCTTGCTATGAGCTAAACATTTTAAATTCAGATTTGTTCTGATTTTGCATCTGAAATTTTCCTTCTAAAGATTTACTTAGATCTTTCTGCTGAAGGCTTTGAAGGAATGTTGATTATAACTTTGTAATTTGTGCTGAAGTTACATTTAGGTAAAATAAATGGCTGATTTAAGATCTTTTGAGTATATGGTTAAACAAACTGAATTCAAATATTTGTCCAAAATTATTTTATTTTTAAATAATTTTTATCCAAGATTGGCTTTGATCAAAAACTTCTCAGCACAGTCATATTCCTCCTGATTTCTAGATAGGATTTATTACCTATGCTTGAATACTCCATCTTCAAAGTTCCAGATAATGTTGCTGTCAACATGAGTTTTGTAGACACTGAATTTTTTTTTGTTTACAAGCTTTGTTGCAGCTACAATGTGATTTTTAATTGAGCCCTTCATAATTATCATTGCAAATATTAAGCTCTCTAGGAACATTTAGTATTTTAAAAAATTGTATAGCAGCTTTAGCATGATGAAATAAAGTAATAATGCTTGGTAATTTTAAAAAAAAATTTGCATCTTATGGAAAGACTGGTTTTACTTCTGGAAGTCATCTCTTAGTGCTGGTATTAAAAACTATTTTTATATGTGGAACATCATGCTAACAATTTGTGCAATAGAAGCAATATGCTACAAACTAAAAGATGTTATTAATGGATTTATTGGAATCTGTTTTATTTTACAACAAAACTACATAGTTTCAAGGTTTATAATTGGCCACATTTTTAAAATACTCAATTATATTTTAGGTTCCGACAAAACCTTGGTGTTTGTTGAACAAAAGAGAAATGCTGACTTCTTGGCCTCTTACCTTTCCCAAAATAGTTATAGAACCACAAGTATACATGGGTAAGTGTGTTTTCATAACAACCTGATGAGATGAAATAATGGCTAACATAAATTGATATTTGGCAGTACTAAATTGGATTTAATTTTTGATTCCCTTCCCAACTTATATTTACTGTTATTGTCTCATTTTTCAGTATCCCCATGCTGCATTGTAAATTGACTTGAAAAAATTTTTTTCCTTTTTCCTCTCCCATAATTGTAGATACTGTACTGGTCCATTTCCATTGTAAGGTATGCAATATGCATTAAAGGGAAACTTTGTTGATAATTATAAATTTTCATTTGTGTAGTGACAGACTCCAGCGTGAACGAGAGGAGGCCTTGGGAGAGTTTAAAAATGGAGTAACACCAATTTTGATAGCAACTTCAGTTGCTGCTCGTGGCCTTGATATTCCTAATGTGAATTTAGTTGTGAACTATGACCTACCCAATTGTGTGGATGAATATGTACATAGGATTGGAAGGACTGGTCGCTGTGGCAATGTAGGTAGAGCCATCAGTTTCTATTCTTCTGATAGTGACTCTGCTCTTGCTAAGGATTTGACTAAAATTTTGAGCAATGTGAGTATGTGTTTTTTTTTTTTTTTTTTTTTTTTTTTGCCATTCCACCAAAGTTTAATTTCTAATAGCAAAATGTACATCAAACTTTAATTAAATCATGCTCCAAAATTTGGAACTATTTATAATTTAAAAACAAAAAACCTCATAAAAAGTTAATTCTGTTGAAATGTTCACATTGCCTTGAGTTTCACTGAATACCAACAGTAAAATTTTCATTTATATAAATTAAAGCTTGTAAATTAACACAATCTTATTGTAGGCACAGCAAAATGTTCCTGCTTGGTTAGAAAATGAAGCCAAAATGTCAAGTTGTGGTGGTAGCAGCAATTACTATAATGGCTCTTTTGGTGGTAGAGATCGGAGGAAAGAAAAGGTAAGTAATCACAAATATTTTTGTGTTTGCATTCTAGAAATTCATACATTGGTGGTAATTTAATAAAATTTAAATCTAATGTAATTGTTCAATGACAATAGCTATCCTTATTCTGTATAAATCATTTGTATGTTAGATCATTCCTCCCAACCACTATAATCTTAATGGTTAATCCTAGGCTTGGAGAGTTTCTTTACCCCCATGTCCTCATAAACTGTGCCTCTTATTCTTACTGCTTACAAAACTTCCTCCTTCAGTAACCCTCTAGCTTGAGTGTCTCTTCTTAATCAGTCTTACGTGCATGAGAACTGAGATGAAAAATAATGAACCTAATTTCAAATAAATTATTCATCCCCATCCCTCCAAGAAAAACAAAAAGGACTTATTTTGACTTTTCTCTTACTTCAGTTTGACTATGGTGGTGGTTGGCAACCTATTAGCAATGGAGCTCCTCCTGCTTCAATACTGGAAGATGAATGCTGGGATTGACACTGTCCATATCTGTGATAACATTCCATAGATTCCATCCTGCTTGAATCTGAGTTTGTGAAAACTGACATAAACTGGATTTGAGAACTTTTTCTTTTTGCTCAAAGGACCAAAAAAAAAAAAAATTTGTACTTTTTTATGATGTATATATTTCAGTTGAGTTAGGTTTTGTTTTTTTTTTTTTTTTTTTTTTTTATTGCAGAAAAATTTCTTACTAAAAGTTACTGTTAACAAGATTTAAGAGAAATAAAATTTAAGTTGAATTAATGACTTTTTTATCATCTGATTTTTGTCCTGCTTGTAAACTTTACTTCTCAATCCCATATTATTTACAAAACTTGGAAATGTTAAGCCTTCATTTTGTACAGATTTAATTTGACTGTTTACGGTTTTGCATCTAACAAGGTAGATTACTTTTCAGACAAATGCTCTTCAGTTAGTACAGGTACAAAAACCTAGCTATTTAATGAGTCGCTTGCAGGAAAGACTGTATGGCAGTGTCCTTGATTTGCTGGTTCCTTTATGTAATTGCAAATGGAATGGCTGTTCCTTGCAAAGAGGTTTTACCTTTTCAAAGGTAGTTGTGAAGAATATTCAACTATGTTGTCAATTACAAAATAATTGGAAATTATAAGTCTTAAGCATTGAATTTATGGAATCTGGCATATTGAACAAAATACTGATGTTCTGGTAATAACTCTTTGTACCTGCATCTAAGCTGATTAAGTGATCAGGTCAAAAACAAAATCCTCATAATTAATTTAGAATTGTCAAACAAGTTATTCATGTTAATATAACACAAAATAGAACATGAATTTGCCAAAACCATGTACTTTTTTTTTTTTTTTTTTTTTTTTTTTTTAATCACAAAGCCTCCAGCTTTCATGTCTTATTGCAATATCAAAATAAAGGTCTACTTTCTACTTTCCCTGCATGAGTATCTGGCATCAGTTAATTCATCTTTGTAATGTTATTTCTCTATCACCAAATCAGTTGACCCAGGGATTAAAATATGACTGGTTAGATTTGCCTTAATATTTGTTCCATAATCTGGTGGTAGAAACTCGAAACCTGTAACTTTATCACTTCTGGAGTTGTCTTTAAGAATAATACTCTTAACTTTTTTTCTTACTCATTTGACTTTAGATTCTCAGTGGCATATTTTTATTCACATGATCTTTGCTTACTTTTGCCAATATTTTGGGCAGTAAACCAAAATGAGTGTGATCTTTAAACTTAAGTTTGAATATTAAATTCCTGTGGTGAAGATGTCACTTGGATTTGCACATTTTTCAAGACCTCTCCAGTCTTTTCTGATAGTTCAATGAACATTGTCCTATTCAATGTTGTTTTAATGTTGACCATGCCCACACCTTTAGCAATTGTTTGAAAAGTCAACTGGAATGATTGGATGAAGACAGTAATCCACACCTGGCTGTTTTCAGTCGTGGTCCAAATCCAGATACTTTCATTGGTGAACGACTCTGGTTCAAAGATGAATAATGGTTTCTTGTTTGGTGCCACTGTTAGATGAGACAGGATTTCCCCCCTGCTCAACACATGGATGTAATTGAGTAAAGAACAGACTTTTATTCCAGCTTCCTGAAAAGCTTCTTGAAAGGCTCTTAGATTTAAAGCTAAGTAATAAGCTGCCCTAAAAACATCACAAGCTCCACTGGTGAAATTTGATGTGGAATGCCAAAACATACGATTAGCCAATAACATTGCATGATAAGCATCTTTGATATTCACACCAAAGTGTTTAACAATAACATAAAATATTCTGTTGTAAATCCCACTACCATAATGAGGATCTAAAGACTGACTGTAATCAGCATAGTGGCTCACCGACATATTATCTCTGTGAGGATTATCCATGTATCTAAATCCATCTTCATCTTTCAGAGCATACCTGCCAACTGACCAATCATTTGAACCTAAATATGCTTCCAAGGTTTCCCCTGTCATGTCTGAAAATGCTTCATTCATGGCACCAGATTCACCAAAATATAAGAGACGAGAATGTGAATCTGTAAATGCATGTGCTAATTCATGCCCAACAACATCGGCGACAGTGTAAGGATATGACTCTTCACTACCATCACCAAAATTAAATTTGTGACCATCCCAGAATGCATTGTCCATATTGTAGTGAATCCCAATCACGGATTTCTTGTACATTAATTCTGTCTGATACCATTCTTCGAACATACTCCAAAGAGAGCTGGCATAGAAAAGTGCATCTCTGGCTGGAGAATGTGCATCATTTGTTGAATCATTGAAATCTTCACAGCAGTGGAAACTTAATGTGTTCTCAGCCTGATGCATGCCTTGACTGACATCAATGACTCTAGCATATTTGTTCTCAAAGAAGCAATGATCACCCTCTTGTGTTATGTGTGTAGCTCTCATCTGACCACTATATTCAAACTGACCACTCCTCTTGTTACCACCATATCCAGTCATAAGCCGAGTGACAGCATCCAGTTTTGACCATTGCAGTAAAATGGATCCTGTATGAGAATGCAAAAGGAATGCTGGACGTTGAATTGTGTTCTTGCTTTCAAACAAGTAATCAACTTCATATATTGGATGAACTTGCCCTGTAGAATCAACATAAATTTCTATTAAAAAAGTCACATAATGTATATTATTACGCAATTTATCATGGCCAACAGATTGCATGGCAATTTCCAAGGCTTTCTCTTTGGATAGTGTCGGTTTTAAGGAAGGAAAATATGGAGCATCTAGAGTTAGACCCTGTATGTATGACCCACTAACAACACCTGTGAGTTGACCACTTGGCAGAGCCACTACTGTGATGCAGGTGTCAAACACTGGAATGTTTTTATAATTTTGCTCCAATTTCCAAACTTGTAGCCCATTGGTGGTATTCACATTGTCCACTATTTTCAAGCCATCTTGACTGGACAGCCCAAGAAGATCATTCACTGTGGTTTGGTGGTTCAGATGATCAATGTAACTGTAGCTTCGGAGACTTGCATTCACACGATGTACATATCGTCCAGTGGGTTTTATTATAAGAACTGAAAATTAAAAAGGGAAATGTTATTCACATTTAGAAATGTCTTCTTCATAACAATCAGCAGCAAACATTGACCTTTATGCCCACAAATAGACTGGTACCAAAAGGAGTTTTTTCCCCATAACACATTGCTGTTTGTTGTGTTTAAATTCTGAAGAAAAAAAATGGAGAAATTAATTTTCGTATGTTGGAATAACCAATTTTAATCATTACTTTTCAAGACCATAAACATTACTGAAGAGTAAAGTTAATTAAAAAAGCGGTATGGGGTGGGGACAAAAACGTCCTTTGATATTGTCTTATTGTGGGCACGAAGGTCTGTTCGTTGAATCAACACTAATAATTACCCGTGTGTATTTATTAATTTATATCTTTCATATCATGCGTTATAATTACACAGGGGGATAAATCTGGATTAAAGCTCTTGAGTTATTTCCCTTGAAAAGAGTTTATCTGACATGCTCTGTATATAAAAACAAGTAATGTTTCTAATTCCTTCAATAATATAATAGGGGATTTCTTTTAAATAAAGCAATGATACTGTCGCTACATTGTTTGCTGTATAATGTGTGGTGCAAAGTGTGTCATCAGCTTCGAAATGTCTATTCTATCGTGAGGTACATTAGAAGAGGTTTAATCATAGGTAGCTATTTTATAATATATGCCTTTTTTTTTTTTCTTTGTGTTCTCTTCAATTATCAGTGCAAAATTAATAATACTCAACTATTGAATTTCTTTTAATCCAAAATATCAGTGTTGATCTTAAATTGAACTTGCCTGATAGTCTCTTATAGGATTGTGTAGATGAGATTTTTTTTTTTTTTTTTTTTTTTTTTTTATAATAAATGGTAGCTATGATTCATTACTTACTCTTGGCATCACCTAAATCACTTCCTGCTCAACTTTTCTGTTAAAATTGTTTTAATAGCACCTCAAAATGGGAATGCCTCTTGAATGAAAGACTAGCAACAGACCAAAGAATGTAATGACAAAACCAGGTTGGGAAGCAAGGTGATCACTGAATTGTTTTTTTTTTTTTTTTTTTTTTTTTTTTGAGAAATTTCCATTAAAAGAATTAGATAAATTTTGTCTTATCTAATTAGTGTGACATGGGATTCAAATAGAAATCTAGTAAGGGAATTAAATGGTTCATTGGCCTCTATTTTGGCTGGGGAGTAGTTGGTCTTGCAAAGGAATCTGGGTGTGGTGATGTCTTTTGCTTTCCATTCTTGCAACTGTATCAACTTTGCATCTTTGGGGTTTTATATTGAGACAAAGACTTTACATCAGAATTCCACATTCACAGGGTTCAAACCATCCCCACTCGATTTGGGTTATCTGACCAGTACAGTAAGGCTTGCCATTTTGGGCCAGTGTGCGCTTTCTGTAACTATACAACTCTGATGACCTGCTTATGCCATCTGTAATATTTGTTTTTCCAGGGGAAATAACTCCATCTATTCATGTACTATAAATCGGGTTCTACTTGGTTGGTAATGTTTTTACCCCCATCACCTTTTCTATGGTAGGATTTGTATTCTCCCATTTCCTCTGAAGACATTGCTGCTTGTAAAGTGAAGAAAAAAAAATACATAAATCATCTCAGACGTTGCAGAATTACACATAAATTGTGATTATTCCTTCTCCTGCTTCTCAAATTCCACTTGGCTATCAAAACATTCCAGTTTTAATGTCAGAATTGTGCAATGCAATTTTCTTATGCTTATAGTTTCTTAGAGGTGGAGATTAATGAGTAAGGCAATTCTTTTTGCTGCTTTTATTCAGTAGAAGCATTGATTACTTTCACAGTATTTTTTTTATTATAGTCACAAATCTGGGAATTGGATTTTGCCTCTCTTTTCTTTAATGGAAGTTGAAATACCACCATGTAAGCAACATTTTTGGGATCTTAGCATTCCATAGAATACTTAGGATATATAAATAAAAGGTCAAG